CGGTGAACTGCGGGCGGCGTACCGCGCTGATCCAATGGCAGGAGCCAGGTACTTATCCTGGTCTCCCATGGGGTGCAGGGCCCAATCACTTGGGCCATCCTCCACTGCACTCCCGGGCCACAGCAGAGAGCTGACCTGGAAGAGGGGCAACCGGGAAAGAATCCGGCACCCCGACCGGGACTAGAACCCAGTGTGCTGGCGCCGCAAGGCGGAGGATTAGCCTAATGAGCCGCGGTGCTGGCCGGGAACAATAATTTATAAAGACGATTTATTTGTAAAGACTATTTTATTTTATTTACAGAGAGAGAGAGAGAGAAAGAGAGGCAGAGAGACAAAAAGAGAGGAATCTTTAATCTGTTGGTTCACTCCCAAATGGTTGCCACGGCCAGGGCTTAGTCAGCCCAAAGCCAGGAGCCTGGAACTCCATCCTGGTTTAACACATGGGTGAAAGGGGCCCAAGTGCTTGGTCCATCTTCTGCTGCTTTCCCAGGAGCATTAGCTAGAAGATGGATGGGAAGAGGAGCAGCGGGGATTCAACCCAGCATTCACATTTGATGCCGGCATTTGTGTTACAATGCTGACTTTGAGGGATCATTAATTCTAAAGGAGGGAATAATTATCTCTGGGTGACTGGACTTACTTGGTTGTCATAACACAAGAAAATTTCCTAAAGATTAAACTGTACATGATTTTTTTTCTTTTAATAAGTTTTCATGTGGGAGAAAACAGAAATAGAGAGAGAGGGAGAAAGGCAAAGAGGGAGAGAGAGGAGAGAGAAAGCTTCATTTTCTCTGATTCATTCTCCAAATGCCTGCAATGGCCAGGGTGTACCAAGCCAAAGACAAGAGTTGGGATTTCAATCCAAGTCTCCCACATGTGGACAGGGATTTAACTACTTGAACTATCACCTACTGCTTCCCACAGTCTGCATTATAAGGAAGCTGGAGTCAGGAGCCTGAACCAGGACTTGAATCCAGGTACTCTGATATGGGAAGCTAGCAATTTAACCTGTGTCTTAATTATTAGACCAAACTCCCATCCCAGTGAATTGTGCCTTGAAAATTCTCCATATTCTAACCAATTACAAAACACACATTTATCATGATTCCTCAATAAAACTTATAGTCATTAGGAAGACAGAAACTCATTGCTCCTTCAGGCTATGGTTCTCTTATACGTGCTAATGTCATAGTAATTTTTCCATCAAATCATTAAATCACTCATTATTTGCCTGAAATTTAACTCCATATTATGACATGCAGATCAGAGTTTCTTTTCATTATGTCTGCCTAACAGGAGCTTGGTCCCATCATGCTTTTATGTAGCACTTTTTCCTTCCTTAAACAATATTCCTAAGGTAGAATGATTTTTTTTATTATTTCTAAATACGCACTTTTGTAGACTATTTAAAGATATTTTGTATTTAAATGACATTTATAGAATAAATTTATAGAATTTAAAATATATAATGCATATAACATTCTTTTGGATATTATTAAGCATGCATTCATTATTAATATGATATAAAGGTTATAAATAAAACTGGGAAAGGAAAGTAAATAAAAACCAAACTAAACTGTGTATTATTACAAGTATTTATTACAATAATTAAGATTCTTATACTCTGAATCATAAAACATAACCATAATCCTACATAAAGCTCTGTAAATCTTATATATTTCATAACTGTTGGCAAAAAAAAAAATCATCTGAAATGGAAACTACCAATAAGCTCATTAAAGCATGTGGAAGTTTCCCATCTTTGTCATAACTTGGACCAATGTGTTTTCATTTGAAAAAAGAAACAACAGACAGGGGTGTCCAGAATAACAAATATCATAGAATAGGTCTTTTAATTTTGTGTCCCTTTTTTTTTTTAACAGGTTGAATCAGATGGCTCCAGTGCTGGCAAAAATTTTAGAAAATATATCCATCATGACACAGACTCTTCTGAACCAGGGCCCGTGGGCCAGCCATCAACAACATTTTCCTTTCCTAGAACATAAGAAGTCAGGGATTTTGCCAGAGAGGCCTGCCTGCCGGCCAGCCAGGCTCTACTAGGAGACTGAGGAAGCAGGCTTGTTATTTGGAAGTTTGGTTTGTTGTTACTCTGGCTTTCAAATTAGAAACATCAAGACAAAAAACTTGGGTTTGATACTGGATTAACTACACAGCTGCTCAAGAAATGGTCATAACTCGTCATCTTTGAATGTGCTAGCAAGCAGTATCAGTTCACATTAACAGCACAGGGAGGCATAATTGAGACCTATGGCTATATGACACTTGTGAAAAACTGACTGAGATCACTGAAAAAAGAAACAACTGTCTAACGTCATGGATTTGCAAAGGGTTTTAAACTCTTCAAAAAGCAAGAAATTATTTCAGTGCCCTTAGTTCACTTCTGGGCCTCGTAAGCATTTGGAAAAACCCAATGAATTCCTAGGGGCTGTTGTTATGTTAAACATTCAATGGAGTGTAAGTGAGTGCTTCTGATCCTATTGTCACATTTAATTTTATTTTCCTATTCCCTATGTCCATTTTATGATGCTATAACAGACTACTACAGACTAGGTAATTTATAATGAACATGAATCAGCTCACAATTCTGGAGGCTGGAAAACTCCAACATCAAGGTACTGGTATTTAGCAAGAACCAGAACCTTCTTCCTGTCTCATTACATCACAGATATAACAGGAAAAAAATGGGCAAGCGAGTACAAGAGAGAGCTGAACTGAGCTTTTTATAATGGAATTAAAAACCTCTTGGCCTAATTACCTCTTAAAGGTCCCATTTCTTATTTTCTTTCTTTTTTTATTTTATTTACTTGAAAGAGTTACAGAGAGAGGTAGAGACAGAGAGAGAGGTCTTCCATCCGCTGGTTCACTCCCCAGATGGCCGCAACGGCTGGAGCTGAGCTCCAAAGCCGGGAGCCAGGAGTTTCTTCCACGTCTCCCAAGTGGGTGCAGGGGCCCAAGGACTTGGGCCATCTTCTACTGCTTTCCCAGGCCATAGCAGAGAGCTGGATCAGAAGAGGAGCAGTCAGGACACGAAGGCACCCATATGGGATGCCGGTGCTTCAGACCAGGGCTTTAACCCACTGCGCCATAGCACATGTCACAAAGGTCTCATTTCTTAACATTTTTACAATGGCACTTTAATTGCAGCATAAATTTGTGAGGGGACAAATATTGCAACCAGAGCATCTACTCTGGAGGTACAGAAAATTCATTCTTATTTTAATTAAATTTCAAGATTTTAAAATTGAAATGCCATATAAGTTTGCTATGTTTCCAATTACCTTTTTGTTGTGAATATGAGAGAACTCAATAAGTTCACAGAAAGCCTGTCATAAGAAAGTATGGCTTTTTGAAAAATTTTATACCAAAATAAATTATCTTTCAATTCTACTTTCCATAAATTTTCTAAGTACCCTTATATTCACCTATATGTCTTAAAACCTTTATTACACTTCACTTCATCAACCAGAAGAGCTTTTTTAAATCTGGTTTGAATGTTTCAATGAGAGTTTCTGCCTTTCACAAGGAGTGACTTTTGATCTGACTTTAAGAATATGTACTATTCCCTCAGCCAGAAAACAAAGTCTAGATGAGAAAAATAATCAGCAATGAGTTAAGCATTTGATGCAGCAATTAAGTTGCCACTTGAGATGCCTGCATACCATAACTCAGTTTGAGTTATGGTTTGAGTCCTGGCTCTGCTCTTGATTCTAGCATACTGCTAACATGCTTCCTGGGAGACATAAAGTGATGGCTCAGGCACTTGGGTCCTTGAGATGCATGTGGGAGACCTAGCCTGAATGGCGCAGCCCCACATGTTGTAGGAATTTAAGGAATAGATCAGCAAACTGGAGATCTCTCTCCCTCTCTCTCCCCCTCTCTCTTTTTCTCCTTCTCTCTCTCTACTTTCCAAGTAACATAAAAATAAATAAATGAAAAATTTTAAAATTACCCAACCAGAGGGCTGGAAGAGAAAAAAATACTTGGACAGTCATGGAGCCCCTATTTTAAAGCTAAAGATAACAAATGAACAGGAATAAATCTTTAAAAGATGTTACCTGCCGTGCAACAGAGTTGGCCTTGTTTCTCTGGGATTTACAGGGCAATAGATGCTTTTAAGCAACATATTGACATGTTTTGGACAAGTCACTATTTGTTGATATAAAGGAAAGAGAAAGATATAAGGGGCAACAATAAAGATCATTCAAATGGCTATTCAAACAACAGTGATAATGGTATTTTGATCAAAAACATATCTGAGTATATTTCATACAATTCTCTGACAATCTCTCTTCCTAACTAGCATTCCCATCACTCCTTTTTTGTATCCTTTATCATTCTGACGTCCCAATAGACCATTGTCTTTTTAAATTTTTTCTATTTATGTATTTCATTTATTTGGAATGGAGGGGGTAAAGAGGAGAGATAGCCAGCCGGCCAGAGAGGTCTCCCAGGTGGGTGGCAGGTACCCAAATAGTTGAACAAGCACCACTGCCTCACAGAATCTGAATTATTGGAAATGGGAGTCAGGAGCCAGATCCTGGGCACTCAAATATGAGATTTAGGAATCCCAACCAACATCTTAAATCACAAGACCACTCATTCACCTCAGGCTCATTATCCTTCAACTTAATATCATTATGACCACCGATAGACTTTCCATCTTCATTATATACCTATCTGTGCAACTGTTAAATTTATATAATCTGGCAATACTAATATGAACCATCATGCTTTAATTTAGTATCTGTTGAAAATGAATTATATTATTTTCTTCCTGAATAATAATCATCTACTTAAACCCAAATTCTGATGCTAAACATTCTCATTGACATTTATAAGAAATATTATTTAAATTTTGCCAAAGAGTTTACTTCTTGGACACAGTATAATTCATCTGAGTTGCAAAAGAAATTATAGGGAGAGCTTAGACTCTATCCAAGTCCTATTATGAAGTCAAGCCTATTCTGCCAGCACATCTGTTCCCTTCCTACAACTTCTAGACTTTCCTCTTTCATCATCAAAGTTGAAAAGGACAGCAATAACCAAAACAATATGAAGAAACAGGCCAAAGAACTCAGCCTGCCTATTTGAGGAACAGCTCCAGTGGGCAGCTGATTTTAACAGTGAACTAAACAAAGCTGGGCCAAAGCTGAAGCTAGCAACTAGACATGGAGGTTATCTGGAGTCAGGAAAGAAAAGTTTCAAGAAAGATGCTAGACCAGCTTCTGAGCCAATAAGCCAGAGATTACTGCAGTTTTGTCCCCTAGAGAGCTTCACAGAAATGTGGAGTCTAGGAAAGATGTTGATGCCTTAGAATAAACTGACATTTAAACAGATACAAGAAGGATGATGGAAAAAAAATCCTGCCTTGTTTATGGAAGTCCAGAGCAGAGTGAATGACAAGTACAAAGTTAACTGAGTACATGGTGAGAAGGAAATAGCAAAGAGGCCCATGTGGCTGGGCAGGATAAACAGTGTGGAAGGTGGATACATTTGGACTCCGAGGTGTTGGGAGGCACCTCATGTAGAACTAGGAGAATTAGTGAATGGACTTTAGGTTTTCTGAGTGTGGAAAGAAATTACATAATCAGATTTTGTTCTTAAGCATTTACACTGATTGTAGGAAGAAAATAGACTCTTGGAGTTCTACAGCATACATAGAGACACCAGTTAAAGGCTCTTGCACTAACTCAGGCAAGCATCTTGAACCATAGCGGTAGCAATGAGGGCATTGATAAATGGTCAGATTTAGGACATATTTTGAGGCATAACTGACAAAAACTGTGAATGTGTTGGATGTGAGGTAAAGAAAGGAGGACAGGATGATTTTCAAGTTGTGCCTTGAACAACTATAAAGATACAGCTTTCAGTTGACTGTATAATGATGTATGGAGACTACAGAAAAAGTTGTTTCTACTGTTTAGGGTGGAAGAATCAAGAATATGACTTGACACATGTAAAGTTTGAGATATCTACTAGACATCTAAGTTAAGATTTCAAGTAGATGATTTACTATATAAGCATAGATCTCATGGGAAAAGTCTGTGCTGGAGATATGAATTTTGGACTCTATAACATCGAAAGCATAAAATTGGATTGATATCAATTTGGGAAGAAGTAGAGTTGGAGGCAAGTGGTGTTCCAGAGCTTAGAGAGTGAGAAAATAAGAAAGATTCCACAGGAGACAGAGAAAGAGTAGTGAGTGAGATGGAGGAGAAAGCATTTTCCCAAAGTCCAAGTGAGGAAAAATGGCTCAAAATAGAGGGGATTGTGAATTGTGAATAATTATGATGAAAGAGGACAAGCAATGTGAGGTCTGAAAACTGACTGTTGAAATGAGCAACGAGGGTGGCCCGGGAGTGCAGTGAGGATGGCCCAAGTCCTTGGGCCCTGCACCCCATGGGAGACCAGGAGAAGCACCTGGCTCCTGCCTTTGGATGGATCAGTGTGGTGAGCCGGCCACAGCGTGCCGGCCGTGGCAGCCATTGGAGGGTGAACCAACGGCAAAAGGAAGACCTTTCTCTCTGTCTCTCTCTCTCACTATCCACTCTGTCTGTCAAAAAGAAAGAAAGAAAGAAAGAAAGAAAGAAAGAAAGAAAAAGAAAGAAAGAAAGGAAGGAAGGAAGGAAGGAAGGAAGGAAGGAAGGAAGGAAGGAAGGAAGGAAGGAAGGAAGGAAGGAAGGAAGAAAGGAGCAACAAGGAGATCACAAGTAGTCTTCACAAGAGCAGTTTGGGGCAAATGGGGAAGAAAGATCTGTGAAGTGGGTTCAAGAGAGAATGGATAAAAAGGAAACGATAATGAGTATAGACAGTTTTTCTTTGAATTTTGCTACAAATGGGATCTAATATGGACAGTAGAAGATAGAAGAACAGGACAAGTTTTTTAGGTAAGAGAGAGTACAGTAGATGTGCATGATGGTTCAAATGATGCGGCAGAGTGATAATTTGGTGATTTGGAAGAACAGTCTTGCTGGAATAACTGGATGAGGGTATGTTCTGGGAGAACCAGTAACCTTACTGAGGAATGACCAATGCTGATGTCATCAGTCACATTTTTGTCTCCCTCTCTGACTCCACCTTTATCTTAACCAGCAGCACTTTCTTTACTCCTAGAGTTTCAAAGTCAAAATTTCTGACAGCTTGCTAATATTTCTTCTTCAACTTTTCATCTATTCTATTATAATCAATCTCCACTTGCTATACTACTTGTGGTCCCTGTTAATATTGTTAGAAATAAGCTTTAAGACATGTTAAGTCCCAACGGACAACTTTCCCTCTCCCCGCAAGATGCTCTTCACCTTCACCTCAACATCTTTCCTTTTGCTATATTTCCATCATGGTAGGACATAAAGAAATGAAACAAGATGTTCTGAGCATCTTGGGATCTTGGGTAAGAGTATATTTAAAGTTCATTCTTTTTTTCTGTTGCCAAGTGGAATTGAATATATCTTATTTTTAAAAATACTATACACTTGATTTATTCTTGCTGTGGCTAGAAGCTCCAGCATGATATTAAGTTGTACAGTTAAAGTACATGATTTTATTGATATTGTCAAAGAATCATCATTTTGTTCAATTGATTTTATATATTGCTTATTTATATTCTATTATACCACATCTTTATGATTTATGCTTTTACTTATTTTGGAGTTATTTTTGATGTTCTGTCTAGATACCTTTTTAACAATATATTTTTAGAGTCTACAATTTTAAGATTTTTCCATATTCATTTTATATGTAGCTATTATATATGTATATATACATACAATTTCCCTTGAATACAGGGATATTAACAACACATAATATATGATTCATGACAATGATCATAATGTGAAAAAAGAAGGGTATATTTTTATGTAGATGGTATAATTCAGTGAATATTTTATATACTGATTGCTCATTGAATCTTTGGGAAGATGGATCAAAGACATGAAGGAAGAATGCAAAAAATGATTCCATACTTTCGATTGGTGGAGGATACGACTATCTAACCAATATGCCAGTATTCATGTTGAACCATGAACAGGGCACTGCTGATCCCAGCAATGCTGTGTTCCTCAATTTCCTACAGCCCAGAGTAAACCGTTAACTTTGCTGACAATTAAGAGTGTATGTCTGTGATGAAGTGCATATCAATAGCAAAGAAAAGCAAGAAAGCTAGTGTCCATTATTTTCAACTACTTTAGTGGGAAGCAGGACCACACACAGTATTTTCATTTACCAAGTTTCTGATTCCTGCCACCACAGGGATATATCAATCTTATTTATATAAATCTCATTGACATCTAGCCTAGAAAATATAAATGATATATATATGTTATCACTCTTGATGACTTTTTGGACATCTTAAATTCCAGATTTTGTCCATTTCATTTTCCTGCTATCTATTAGGAGGAAAAAACTTTATAGGCCTGCAATGTATGTAGGATACAGTTTTAATCACCTACAATATGCCAAAAAGTTACTAATGGTATGAAGCCAACAGTCTTTTCCTATGATCAGGGAATAGAGTTTAATGAGATGTATATGAATACACTTACTGGAGCAATGTGGTAGATAAAGAATGGCAATTAAGATTTATTGAGCGGCTACTCTGAATTTCACATTGCATCAACACATTTATCTCATTTATCAACATAGCAACCATATATATTCAATATTATGATAGAAGTTAACTAACTTTAACTTGATTATATAAGTAGTATGTAATGGAGCTATAATAAAAACCTATGCACTTCCTTTTGTAATCCTGGAAATAGGAAAATGGTTTGGCTCCTTTTCTACCATTCTACTACTCCATGCAGGTCTCAACTGTCTTCAACTACCCATTCATTCAAGCCCAATATTTAAATTACATTCCTGGCCTTATGTGAAACCTCTGTGAGAACCTCTGCCTTACAAGTTTTAGCATAAAACTAATCAACATAGCTAAGAATAGCTATCATTAAGATTAATGATCTGCAATTATTTAGAATCTGATCATTTTCCCCAAATCTCTTAGTATCCTAATCCTTTCAACCTGACAACTCTAACTTCTGAATATTTTGTTTCCTGGCTGACCCCTTTGAATACATTCTCTTGCTTTCCTACTTCCTACATTAGACAATATCCTTTACATATGGTCAATTCCAAATTCTGGCTTCTTCTAACTTACCTCAAATCTTCAGCATTCAAATTCTAAGGAGAAAAAGACTTCGAGAAAAGACTGCAAGCTCTGATGAATAGAGTCAGCAAACAAAATTTAAAGGTAAATAGAAAACTCCCAAAATTATAGTTGATAATTTTAATAACATCTAAGAATAGCTATTAACTCTTATTTTTATTATTCAACAGAAATATTGTTGGATATTGTTTTAATATGAAAACTGTTTGAAATATTCAATAGGATAGATACTATTGAGATGGGCCCAGGAGTTACGTTAGCAAATTTGTGTCATTCGTTTAGTCTAAACAGCCGTTGTATGTTGAAATAGTTAGACCTGAGTATCAGAAAGCTGGTTCAGAGTTCAGCAGTTTTAGCAGATTAGTCAATGAGACTTTCAGAGGTTGTGACACACACAGTTAAATTCTAATTTTACCAGCTTGGCCTCTCCCATAACCTTTTAATTGTATAGTTAACCTACTATTGCTCCATTTCCCAATAAACTTTGAGATATGCCTATGAAGTACCAAATGAAGTGAGTATTTCCTAATTATCTGCCAATTTGGAGGTGGACCACCAAACTGTGTATAATTCAAGACTGTGTGCATCATTGACTTTAATCATTTTACTGAATCATGTGATTTAGTTCACCATTTGAATCAACTTAATAAGTGCTTAATCCATTCAGGACCTATTTGTGAATATCAAACCTTAAAACTAGTCCTTGTTTCAAAAAGTACTTGCTGCTGATGACATTACTTCTACTTGTACCCCAGGTAGGTGATGTTACTGTCAGATGTACAATACCAGTAACTGAATGCTTTGATCACCGGACAGTCCAAATTGAACATGATTTCTCTGTAACTGTGCTAGAGGATAAGAATAAAAAATAGGATTCTTTGCTGCCTCTGGGGCATGGGTAAGTGTTCACATCTTCTTCTTTCTAAAACATCAGAGTTCACCTAATTTGGCCTCATACACCTACACTCCTACCAGTGGAGAAAACTGGTATTATTCTCTGGTACAACATATAATATTAGAGTCACAAGTGACCTCCTGAGATTCTGCTGTCTCTCTAGCCACACTGGGCCCAAGATTTCCAGATACCCTTGTTCTGATAACCTAGGTAAGAAAACATCTCCTAAATACCACTACCCCTCTTCCATCTGCAGGAGAGATTAACCATCCTGTGACCTATAACCCTTGTTATCCATGGCTTCTATTCAAATCCCATCATGCTCCTAATTCCAGTTCACCTATGTTACCACCAGAAGCCCAGGGTTCCTAGGTCACAAGTTTCTCTGGTCAGTTTCATATATATGCATGACTACCCTGTTCTCAGCATTCAATAATATCATAACCTCGCCTACATTCTTGGCCATCCAAGCCCATCCACAAAAACTTGTTTCCTGTCATTGGAAAATTTTCTCCTTCCTTAGTCTATCCAGTGAAAATTTACTTCAGACTTCTGCTGAAATTCAACCTGTATCCTAAAGGAGAGGAAATTTTTTTTTATTATATTTTTCTCTTATAGTCCAGATGCCACATACCTGGAGACTGAAGTAGTGCTCTTTCTTTTTATCTCTTGCCACTTTCAAGCTGCCATTCCTGTTTCCCCCTTCAGAATTCTCAGGTCTTCTGAAATACATGTTCACAGCCTTTCTTATCCTTTGTCCCTGCCTTGTTAAATTACTTAAAAGACTCTGATTATTGCTCTTCCCTCACATGTATCTTTCCTGTCATCATGCTACAAAATCAAAGTAGGTGATCAAACTAAAACTCTGGTCTGTAATTACTTTGCTCCCTTAGCTCCAGTAACCTTGTCCTCCACCACTTTTCCATGACTGAATCACACATTATACCTATATTTTGTCATCATCCTGCATGATCTCTGAATTTCAACTCCAAGCATTTCTTTCTGTCATCTTCTATTCTTCCAACCTACTTTTGTTAGTAATCCACTCATGAAATTCACCAGATCATCAATACCCCCAATTCATTGACCCTGTAATTTTTATGTAATCATCATAATCCCATGTAATTTCATTCAGCTTGTTTTTCATGATCCCATCCTATAACTACTTTCTAACAAATGTCCTTAATTCTTTTTCCCTTTTTCTTCCATCATTTTTTCCTGGCAAAATCTAAACTCCACTCAAATACAACAAATTGCTAATATATCCCTGCATTCAAATGGCTGAATACTGCTAAAGTGTATTACATAATTATTATTATTATTGAAGTCACTCATGAACAACATCTTGCCAAAGACAATGAATGGCTAATTCTATGCTTTCATCTGTCATTTCCTCTTAGAAAATGTTTTTCCTCTTGGTATGCTGCCCATTATTGAGTGCTGTAGCCTTGAGTGTATTTGCATTTAAAACCATCACAAGTGCATTTATACATAGAATTCCTTCAGATAACATTCCATAAGCAAGAGGCATATCCTCTCATTCTTTCCTTTTTAGCGTTCCAGAGAAGAGCAAGAATGAGAATTTTGCAGCTAGCTGTACCACAAAATTTAATTGCCAAAAATTAAATTATATTATCTTCCACTTTCATCAAGATTCTCTGGGAAATTTATCAAGTAATAATTGTGAAATATCCACTGTAATGGTAAAATTGTTCTGAAGATTCTCACAAATATTAAAATTAATTTTAATTATGACCTTGTTAATCACATGAGATCCATGAAGTCATGTGTCTACTTTCTTTTTCAAAATTTACTGGAAGTCCTTAATGAAATGTCCATAAGTACTACTAGATTACTAACAGGAAATGCCAATTTTAAGCCCTCTAGTCGTCAATACTATGTCATTCTCTAAAATTATTTCTAGAATTTTTCAAATAAGTGAAAAATTACCATAATTTACAGAATTATTTACACAAAAAGATCATCGGACATTATCCCTGTTCCCTACACAATGCACCACAGCTGAAGTTGAGTTATTCATTATTTCATAAAGAGTTGTTGGATACCAATATTGATTCTTAAAATCACATAAATAAAAAACATGTGAATATAAATAAATAATTTATTTATCTTTGCTTGGATTAATACAAACTCAAGAAACCAAGATAAATAATTAGTACTTTCTACCTTAGAGATAAGTCAAATATTTAGATTTATTTTTTGATTATGGAATACCATATAGGCTTCAGAACAAAAGCCTACCTACGTTACTCAGAGGTAAAAAATCAGTATTTCTAAGCATCAGTTTTGAAAAGCTTTTTAAAAAATCTAGATCACAATATCTACCTGATTAAGAATTAGAAAAAAGAAACAAAATTAAAATGTACATCATGACATCATGAATAATATATTCCAGCTGGCACCGCGGCTCACTTGGCTAATCCTCCGCCTGCGGCGCCGGCACACCAGGTTCTAGTCCCAGTCGGGGCGCCGGATTCTGTCCCGGTTGCCCCTCTTCCAGGCCAGCTCTCTGCTATGGCCAGGGAGTGCAGTGGAGGATGGCCCAAGTGCTTGGGCCCTGCACCCCATGGGAGACCAGGAGAAGCACCTGGCTCCTGCCTTCGGATCGGTGCAGCGCGCCGGCCGCAGTGCACCAGCAGTAGCAGCCATTTGGGGGGTGAACCAATGGAAAAGGAAGACCTTTCTCTGTGTTTGTGTGTGTGTCTCTCTCTCACTGTCTAACTCTGCCTGTCAAAAAATATAAAAATAAAAAAATTAAAAAATGAATAATATATTCTATGGAACAAAATAGGTGCTCATTCTATCTATAACATTATCATGGCTTGCGTGTTACTTTTGAGGAATAAAGGAAAATTAAGGTATTTCTTTAATTGCTTATAAAAATAATACTCTTTAGAATAACTTGATTCAAGGCTGGCATTGTATTACAGCAGGTTAAACTGTACCTGTGATGACAACATATCACATGAATGCTGGTTTGAGTCCTGGCTACTTCACTTCTGATCCAGCTCCCTGTGCCTGGGAAAGCAGCAGAAGATGTCCCAAGTGCTTGGGCCCCTGCTACCCACGTGGGAGACCCAATGAAGCTCCTGGCTTTGGCCTGGCCCAGCCGTAGTTGTTGCTGCCATTTGGGGAATGAACCTGCAAATGGAAGGTCTCTCACTCTGTCTCTCTTACTCTTTGTAATTCTGCCTTTCAAATAAACAGATATTTAATAAAAAAGAATTATCTGATAAAGTATATTTTGCATGTCCCTAAATAATTTTTCCAACTTTTAAATTTATACATGATATAAAGAGAAAGTTAACCTTTTGCAAACCCTTGTTATTTGTGTTTATTAGTTGTTGGTTTTTTTTTTTTTTTTTTTAGAGAGATCTTTAATCCTCTGGTTCACTTCCTTTTTTGTTTTTTATTTTGACAGGTAGAGTTATAGACAATGAGATAGAGACAGAGAGAAAGGTCTTCCTTCCGTTGGTTCACTCCCCAAATGGTCACAACAGCCTGCGCTACGTCAGCCCGAAGCCAGGAGCCGGGTGCTTCCTCCTGGTCTCCCGTGCGGGTGTAGGAGCCCAAGCACCTAGGCCATCCTCCACTCTCCTCCCGGGCCACAGCAGAGTGCTGGACTGGAAGAGGAGCAACCAGGACTAGAACCCGGTGCCCATATGGGATGCCGGCGCTGCAGGCGGAGGATTAGCCAAGTGAGCCACGTGCTGGCCCCTGGTATTTAAGTTTTAAAGTTTAGCACATAATGTGCCATTTTTTAAAAAGAAGAAATACCAATCCTTCTTTAGTTTCTATGACTAAAGACAAAATTAAGTATTTTTAAATGGCTAATTATAAATAATTATAGTGATTCTATGTAGTTAATTTAAGATTAAAATATTTAAAATAAAAAGGAAAAGAGACATGAGAATACTAATGATGTAAATATATGATTTCTTTCAGCTCTAAAATCTAAGTTAGCATTTGATAAAATTATGTGGCGTCTAACTAATTGTATTTTATTTATCAAAAATTTTTGCTCCACTGTATGATTGAGTGCACATATAATATAATGAAAGTAACTTTTTCAAAAAAGATTTATTTGAAAGGAAGAGTTATGGAGAGGCAGCAGTAGAGAGAGAGAAATCTTCCATCCTCTGGCTCATTCCCCAAACAACAACAACCATGACGGGGCCAGACCAAAGTGAGGAGCCAGGAGCTTCATCCAGGTCTCCCGTGTGGGTGCAGGGGTCCAAGCACTTTAACCATCCTCCAATACTTTCCCAGGTGCATTGACAGGGAGCTGGATCAGAAGTGAAGTAGATGGGACTTGAACTGGCACACATATGGGATTCCAGTGCTGCAGGCCCTGGCTTTACCATCCACAACCAGTACCCCATAAGTAACTTTCAAAGTACTATCATATATGAGAGACATACAAAGAATGAGTGTATCAAAAAAGTGACTGTAAATTCAAGCCTATGTAGCATTTTCAAAATGGAAAATAATTTTTCAAAAAATGATAAGATAAAAAAGAGAGTGTAATTCTCTATGAGTAGCAATTTGGGGGAAGTCAAATAAATGGCAGAAATGTCTAGTTAGTAAAGCTTGTCAATGTAGATTCTTCTGGTACACTCTCCAGAGGGTAAGGTTCTAAACTTTTTGTCTGCGTAGATCTACATCCCGCTTTCAAGCAAATAGAGGGAGAGCAGAGAGCTTTCCTGGATTTGCTTCTGCTGAATTGTCTTCAACCCAATAATCTTTCCCATTTTGGATTGTATATCCTCATCTCCTACAATTCTACTGTAATTCTATTGGGCTTAGCTTACAACAAAAAATAAATAAGCATACCTAGTTAATTTGAATTTATGACAATTAGTACTCACTTAATGTAAATATATCCATGAAAGTATTTTAAGTATATCTAGGTCCCAAATATGTACGTATTTCTAATAAATGATTATTTGTTATTTAACTGAAATTTGAATTTAACTGTGCAACTTGTATTTTTATAGGCTAAATTTGGTAACCCCAGATGAAAGATAACAATTATTTTTGGAGCAAAAATACAAATAAATATTTCAACAATTGTACCTTAGACATGCGGAGCCAACTATACATAATTTTATGCATATGAAGAGAAAAAAACTAGCTCTTACTACAAACCTAGATCATTTTTACTGTCCTTGGCATATTTACAATTTTGATATAAACATTGTAAGTAATTGACTCTTAGGAAATCTCTGTAGTTAGTGGAAAGTCTGAAATACATAAATGTAGAGGTATTATGAATAACAGCCCATTTTACCAAGTGCTATTTGATTCACACTTTAAAAAACATATCCTTACGTTTTGAATCAGAGATAGTTGAATCCAAAGTGGGTAGCACCTTCAAAATCTCTTTACAATTTGAAACAGATTCATTTTCTTTGCATGATTAGACCTGAAACATGCAAACCCATGACCATCTGATGGGACCTCCACTTGGCCATATGCTGCATTTTGGAAACCAAAAAAGGCAACCTTTTTAGGACAACATGGCCCTCAGGGTTCTAGCGTAGCTAGCAGAAGTAGGATTGCATTTTAACTCCCTCAACTGTACACACTTGTATAGTGAGCAACCTGTGCAACATTTTGGAGTTGACTTGTCACTTGGGCCACACAAAATAAAAAGTAGATTACAGAAAGAACGACAAGTGATATAGGGAGTTACCAAGGATGCTAAATTTTGTTGTTTTTCAATTCTAAAATCATAAACCTCATTGAAACAATGGTAATTCTTATCATTTTGTTTATCTTTAACCCTTTTAATAAATTATTTCATCTTGCTTAAGGTAGTTCAAACTCATTCCTGACACTTGAAATATATTTTAATATGTAATTAATTGCATAAATATTGCTTCAAAACAAGCTTTAGGAATCATTAGAACTGTGATACCATCCTGGCAATAATCTATATTGAATACACATTGGAATATACCAAAGTGCTTTTCTTTTACTGCTGAATTGATCTTTTGAAATCTCTTTCAGATTCCGGGTCTCTTTGGTGTTCAGAGATTGGCAAATCCTTGTTAAAAAGAGTAAATAAAATGATTTTCTTTCAGTTGCATTCAGAATGAATTTAATTTTCATTCTTTCCTTTGAATAATGGGTTTCTCAAGCTGAAAACAATCTGTATTTTTTTTAAATAAAGTGTTCCTTTGGAACAATTTGTGAATAAAGAATTGAAGAGGTGAAATAAAAAAGAATCAGAAACTTTTACACAAGCACAGCTTAATGATCTGAAAAAAAAAGGGAAAGAGAGGATAAACAAAGCAAGAATGGAAGCAATCAATGTGCTAATAAGATCTCCCGGGGCATTAGCTTTTGACTTTTTCATAAACTATAACATCTTGTATGTTTAAAAAATTATTTCCATATATTTTTTTACTTTCCTTCTAGCTGGAGGAATAGGGAGTTACTTCCTGTTTTCTTCATGATTGTGCTTAACGGGCAAGTTCACTAGAGTACATCACTCATTTCAGTCATCTTTTGTAATCTTGTGTTTACAAGCATCCATTTTACACAACAACTTCCAAAGAATGTTCTTGCTATTGTTTGCAGGATAATAAGATAGTTTTCCTCCTTTTCAGTTACAATCACAGTTTGGGTCTACATAAATAATTGACTGACATAGAAATGGCAATTTCTTTCATCTGAGTTAAGAAGTTTAGAATAAGTTAAGGAAGACTGAAGAAGTGGGCTGGTCATTTGGAAAAGCAGTCTCAGTAGTGAAACAGTCGACTGGGAGACCATGACAGCCACTGAGCACCAAGATAATAAATTTATGTTACATGATAATGATATATAAATAGGAAGGAATAAATCTGCTTGGGTAGATAAAAAGGATGTTTTTTATTCAGAATCCATAGGGTTTGATATTTGTCAGAAAAGGGGAATAAAAGGGAAGGGAGTGATCAAACATTACTCCGAAGATTGAAGTCTAGTAAATGTGAAATGCTATCATGAACATAAATTGAGATGTTAGCAAGGATATTCTGTCAGGCAAGCATGAAGTAGGAAATACGAATGTGCAACTCAGAGGATATCTTGGGACTATGGATCATGATGTGGGAGTTTTCTGTATGGAGACATTCGACAGGGGCTTTGTTTTTGTTATCCATTTCACAGTAGGAGGAAAGGCCTAAATTTAAGGCAAAAAGGAAGAAAGAACGTGGTAGAAAAAGGGATAGTAAAAAATAATTCACAGCATTTGGAAACAACAACTGGAACACAAAAGCATCAATGAAGAAAATTTCAAGAAACTCCCTTGTGGTAAATACATATTTGGCTTTTGTCCCCAGTTGCTAGCATACAACTTCTAACATCTTAACCATCTCAAGAGTTATAAGAATGTTCTGTATGCTAATGAGATGACTAGTGGTTGAGGCCCCCTAGGTAGCCTCAGTATTGGTACTGGGCTCCAGAAAAACTATGTATGATTGAAATGTTCAGCAACAACTCATGATTTATGGGTCGAGGAAGAGGCTAGATATTGGGCTAATTTTAAGTGGCAATGATCTAATCAATTGCACCTATATGATAAGACTGCCATAAAAAACTTTAAATGATAGAAGGGGAGGGGACTTTCAAGTTGGCGGACACATACATGAGCTAGGAGGTGGTATACCCCAATTGCAGAAGCTCCTTTGCTGGTAATCCTTTTGGACCTCTTCATTTGGTTCTTCCATATATCCTTTATAATATCTTTTATAATAAATGAGTAAAATGAATGTTTTCCTGTGTTTTCCTGAGCTGTTCCAGCAAATTACCAAACATGCAGAGGGGATAATGGGAATTCCCAATTTATAGCCAATTAGTCATTAGTACAGGAGGCAACCTGTGACATGCAGCTGGCATTGGAAGTAGAGGACTTAGCCCTTACTTATGGGATCTGTGCTACTTTTGGGTACTGTCAGAATTGAATTGATTCAGTAAAAAGAGTTCAAAAGTGGTAATTCGTTATGTAGGTTTTTATAGAGTCCCATGAGGGTATGGTTTAGGCCAATTGTCTGGATTTGATAAATGGAAGTCTTTGATCATTATCGGTATCCTTGGAGTTGTAGAGGGATGGAAGTTGGGTAACGCAGACTTAAACAGAAGGTAAGAAGAGCAATTGGCAGAACCAATATGGATGTGAATTTTTACATTTCTGAGGAACATCTGCTTTGCCAACCTGTTGGAAGAGCTTGGATTAAAGATCAGGAAGTAGAGTTTGGAAATACGCTCAGAAGATTAGATGGGTTGGGCTGGGAACATTAAGAGAACAAGTTTTCTTATAGTCTCAGGCATATCTAGTGAGAATTTAGGGCTTTATTATTCCCTTACTCCCTTACCATTTAGTCCATATTTTCAGACCTATCCCATGGTCTAGAAGTTCCTATGCTTGGACCACTTCTAGACCTCTTCATGTAGCCTGAGATAAAATAGAAACAAAACTGAAGAATGGAGATATCAGAGCCAGAGAGAAGT